GACCCAGACCCTATGGCACTCATTTTTTTGTTTTCAACATTTAGGAAGCACCCATAATTTCAACAAGATTGTGGATCCCAGCCAATATTTCAACTTGCCTTTTGGACAGACCACCTCACTGGAAAAGGCCCAACCCTGCAACAATGTAAGATCCCAGATCCTTCCAGTGAATGATCACCACAGTTCTGACAGGATGGATTTATACACCCATTTTTGATAGTCTTGCCCAACACAAATCAAAATCAATCTTCTCTATAATGCTCATCAGATGAACATTTTGAACCATCTGCAGGACTGGGAACCGCATGTATGTGTTAGACTCAAAAGAACTGAAGTAACAATCAGCTGTCAGGATAGAAAGATCGAAGATGTGACCACATTTCAGTGAAAAGAAAAGAAAAAGGTCTAATGCTAATACCGCCTGGGGAAGGATTTTATTTTTAGTAGTGCATATCAGATCATCTTTCAAAAGTGATTAGGCCTATGAAGAGGTCAGAAAGAATCACAAAATGTCATTTCATTCAAACAGTAATTATCCAAGTATTATTTATAGATTCACAGTCCAGCCAAAATCCGTCTCTACTTTGCCTCAGTCCACCACACTGTTCAGAAACCAATGCAGCTCCGTTAAACTTCTGAATCACTTCCTCAAGGATGCCAGTAACATCTGCCTATTTCCCCTCAGTCTTCAGCCACTGTTCCCTGACTTCAAAGCTCCTCATAGAAGAACTGTCCGCCATTAGCATACAAAGCAGCCTCCTCCAGAAAACTGTCTCATGCATTACACAATTTGAATGGATGCATATTATTTCATTGCAGTATGGTTTCAAAAATTTTGACACTGCCTTGAGGCTTTGACAAGAGGCGTGTTATAAATATGCCTAAAAATTTTCAAATCCTTATTGTGCATTTGCTAAATCTGTGTCTGCTTCAGTCATTACATGTATTTTTGTAACCTCACACACATCACATACGTGCACTGTGGGGAGCTACAATTAGCTAATTCCCAGCTCATGGTTCCATTATGTTAACATGATTTAAAAAATGGCATAGCTGTGCCTATCATAATGAATTAATTTGTTCTTGGAAATACAGCAGCATGCCAGTAGGAACATTCCAATGACAGCTATAAAAATCAGGATTCAAAGATCACCACTTTTGCTTTGGCCTTCTCACCCCTTTGGCCTTTCTCAATAATTAAATCACATGTTGTGAAAAGGACTCAGTCATTAACACAGTTTCAAAACCTCTAACAATGAAAAAGGATGTTAAGCTCATGGAGAACATGGCAATAGTCAAACATCACTTTTAACCAACATTTAACTGATGGTGCCTGTGGTGGGGTGGTGGCAGCTGCAGAGGTTTGAGGAAGGAAAGTGTGCAGAAAATTGCCATGTGGATGTTGTGCTGTTGCTGCAAATGTCTCTGTTGTGCAACATGGGCATCAAGCATTAGTTCCTAACCACAGGAAGGGAGGCGGGGGGGGGGGGAGGATGGTCCAGGCAGGCGGGAGGGGGGGGGAGGGAAGAATGAAGAGTGAGCTGTGTGTGTAAGCCCAGCAACAAATCCAGACTTGAGTTAAAAGTGACACCTGAATGTAGCCCATTTCTTACAAGTGGAAATGTGCAAACAGTACTTTTGTGTTCTCATTCCCCATACCTCCCTTGAACTGGTTTCAAGAATCTCCCTGTTTTCTTAATCTATTTTTTCTTTTAATATGATGCAGTCCTCCTAGTACATTGAACAATTAAAAGAAAACCCTTAAGATACAAGTTTCCTATAACTGATCATAAGCTGCTTCTTGTTTAGTAAATTTCACTACTTTGATGAGAAATAGAGAGCATAGCTACAATTACGATATCAGAAAATGGTCTTTTCCAGTGTAGCTCTTCTATATATTTTCCTTTACTGAAATGAGAAGACAGCTCAGTGCATGGCTATCATGGTTGTGGCACTCTGTGGAATGTGCCAGTCCAAAGATCCACCAGCTCCCTCCCTGCACTTTTTCCAACAGCCAGCTAGAGCATTTTTTATTGAGAAAAACTTTTAATTTTTTAAAATGGATATTATAGCACTTTAGCTTCTAAACTGCTGCTTAAATTTCTAATTGGTAACAGAAATGTGTATTTAGGTTTTATTGTATGTTGCTTCCAATATTTTACGGAGGAACGAGCAATACCTTATCAAATGATTGCCATCAATTAGAACTACTGCTATGGTAGAACTAAGGGGAAATAACTATTGAAATGTGTATTCTTAACCTTATATCACTCTCTAGTGGTCAAGCCAAGGAGTTCAACATTTTGTGTTCATGCAAGTAAACTGTACACCTAGTGACTAAACCAATCTATTCCAGGGAAATTTAATGAAACAAAGTAGATGTACATATTTTGAGAACAAGCATAATCAGCATTCACATTTCCAGAAACTGTATACATGCAGTCATCACTTTTGATATTTATGATCTAATGCAAAGCATGATTGGAACCAAACTTGAACAGCTCATTTTGCCACAGTTTCTTTCTTGTTTAGGTTAGTTGCTTTTTGCATCATGTCCATATTCTGAAGTGAAGTGTTCCCTATTATCTGTATTATCCTGCTGGGAAAAACTTGCACTTAATAGAATCATATAATCATAGAATGTTAGAGTTGGAAGGGACCTTGCAGGTCATCTAGTCCAACCCCCTGCACTCTGCAGGAGCATAGCTGAAAGATAGCCCTACAATATACCGCTTCAACATCACATGCGAGAGGCGGCCCTAGCAGTGGAAGGTCACCACCACCAGGCTCAGGGAGGTGGGGAAACCTTTCGCCCCCACGGCTGTTGCCACACGCGAGAGGCGGATTTTGCCCCTAGCAGTGGAAGGCCACCACCCCTGGGCTCAGGGAGACAGGAAACCTTTCGCGCCCCATCCCCCGCGGCCATTGTCATTGCTGCCGCCGGCGGCCATATCTCTTTAAAGAGCCCCTTACGAGGGATGGGGGAGCCCGAATGACCTCTCGTGTGTGATGTCCGAAAGCCACTCGCATGTGATGTTGACGCTCGGACATCACATGCGAGAGGTCATTCGGGCTCCCCCATTCCTCGTAAGGGGCTCTTTAAAGAGATATGGCCGCTGGCGGCAGCAGTGGCGGCAATGGCAACGGCCGCAGGGGGGGCGTGAAAGGTTTCCCGTCTCCCTGAGCCCGGGGGTGGTCGCCTTATACTGCTAGGGGCAAAATCTGCCTCTCGCGTGTGGCAACGGCAGCGGGGGGTGGGGGCGAACGGTTTCCCCGCGTCCCTGAGCCCGGGGATGGTGGCCTTCCACTGCTAGGGGAAAATCCGCCTCTTGCGTGATGTCATTCCAGCTCCCCCACCCCTCATAAGGGGCTCTTTAAAGAGATATGGCCGCCGGCAGCAGCAATGGCGGCAATGGCAAAGGCCACGGGGGGCCGTGCGAAAGGTTTCCCCGCCTCCCTGAGCCCGGGGGTGGTGGCCTTCCACTGCTAGAGGCAAAATCCACCTCACCTGTCACCAGGAGAATGGTGTCACCCCGTGATTTCTGTGGTGCATGCTGTGGCCAACTCCATCACCCTGCGTTGGATCATGTCAATCGAAAAAAGAAGGGCCCTTCATGAGATGAGCCTAGCAATCCTTCTTACTCTATTGTCAACCCGAAAATGTATGCATGAAGCCCCATTGGCAGGGCTTTTTTTGTAGAAAAAGCCCAGCAGGAACTCATTAGCATAATAGGCCACACCCAACAGCAGAAACTCATTAGAATTGGCTACATTAGGGGTGTGTGGCCTAACATGCAAAGGAGTTCCTGCTACGAAAAAAGCCCTGGGTCTTGACAACAAACAAGGTAAACAGAATAAGAAGCAAAAGGTGGGTGTGGCTGGATGACCACACTTCTGGTAACATGGGGTTGTGGCCTAATATGCTAATAAGCTGTGATGTTAGGGTGGGGCCTAATATGCTAATGAGTTTCTGCTGTTGGGTGTGGCCTATTATGCTAATGAGTTCCTGCTGGGCTTTTTCTACAAAAAAAGCCCTGCCAATGGGGCTTCATGCATACATTTTCGGGTTGACAATAGAGTAAGAAGGATTGCTAGGCTCATCTCATGAAGGGCCCTTCTTTTTTCGATTGACATGATCCAACGCAGGGTGATGGAGTTGAAGGTGGATATTTTGAGTTTAGGTTAGTTGTAGCTCTCTTGATTTTCTACCCTTTAATTTGGCATGTACACTGAACTTGGCTTAATTAATAAATAATTAGTCACTTCCTTCACTTTGGTGGGATCCCGTAATGATTACATTGCCGATATCGCACATTACATTTGGTGCCAAAAATCACGGAGACGTTTTCTATGGTTTGACGAATTATCTTGAAAAGGCCCATGGACGCCTGATCAGCGTCATCAAGCTGAAATAGGGGCAAGTCCCAATATCCAAATAGCCATGCCTCGGCTCGGTCGAAGGATCCATGTTTTTGTGCCGTAGCAGCACTATGAATCTGTGATTTTAGGATGTGATCTTTATATACGGAGTTGAGCTGTCATGTGGTTGTGGACTTCGGGCGGTGTCTATACATAAAAATTACAGGATCCATATTGACCGGGGGGGGGGGGGCAGCATCCAGTACCACTGAAGGGACAAATGCTAAATCTCCTCACACACCCGCCAGTCTTTGTGGGACAAGTTTTCGCGTCCCTCAAGCAGTCAAGGACTGACCGCGAGCACGCACATTCCTATCAGCCTATCAGAGACGAGGGCGCCAAAGACCCAGCACCTTTCCCTTCCCCGCTTCGCGGTCCTGAAAAAACTAAAAACGCGTTACGTAACGCTGAGGCACTGGAGTATATTTACATACAGTTTGTTCCTCATAGCCAACCCGAGGACGAGTTTGGTTTCCTGTCCCGCCTTGTTCATCTACGTCACCTTATTAGCAAAATCGTCGTTCCCTCAGCTCGACCAATCGACGCCTCTGCTTGTGGAATTCTCCGCCCGTCTTGTCCCTTTGACCGGCTGTGCTGTGCTATGGAGAGCGGAACGTTTGAGGAATACTGTTTGCCTCACCAACGCAGTCGAGGGGTGCTGCTGCCGCGCCTGGAAACATGACCCAGTACCTCAACAGCAGCCAGAGCAGCGGCGGGGACGGCCGGGCCCTGTGGGGTTCCCTTGGTAGCCCTGCCAGGCTCTATCGTAAGCTGGCGGGCCGGGCAGACGGCGCCAGGAATGGCAGGTACGGGAGGGAGGCCGTTCCCATCATACACCACTTCTTAAGTGCCTGGCGCGAAGCGAGGAAGCTCCAGAGGCGCTTCTAAATGTTATTATAATGATAATTCCAAAGGGGGTAGACGTGTTGACCTATTGTAGTAAAATTAAACTATTCAAAGACTAATAGTTTGTTCCAGAGCAAGGTTTCATGAGGCAGCATCAGACGAGGTGGGTTCAGACTCACGAAAGTTTATGCTGGAGTAAATTTTGTTTGTCTTTAACGTTGCTCCACATCTCTTTTCGTTTGATGACATTTCTGTGATCCCAATATTAAATAATCCTCTCCCTTATTCCTCCCTCTTATTCCTCTCCCTATCATTGACCTTTCTTGCTTCACTGCTGCGGCATCTGAAACTGATCCCCCCCCCATCATATTCCTTTACTACATATCTTTTCTTGTGGATAGTACTAACATATAGATCAGAGGACTTCAGTGTAAAAGTTAGGCTTTTTTACTTTGTCCCAATGTATGTCACTTTACTTTTGTGTTCATTGAATCTTATCTGTTGATTGCCCAGCTCTCAAATCTAGGCACCTTCATTTTGATCCTAGTCAAATTGCTTGATTATATAATTATATATCAAGCACATTACTTTTTCTGTTCTGTCCCTGATAATTACTTAGCTGCTGACTAATTGATTGGGTTTGCTTGGCTGGTTAAACATTGTGGCTTAGAATCTGGACCTTGACCATATAAATATTGTTGCATTGTTACAACACAACCTCCTCTTGGGAATTTGTCATGCCACTTAACAGATCCTTTAGATTTTCAGTTGGGAAACAGAAAGGAACCCACACATACAATTATGGTAGTTTATGAGTTAATCATTTTTTTAGCACAGCAACACACTAATATGATGCAAAAGGTCAAACAAGAATATATACAACATGTTAGAGGTATTTGTAGATGACCTCTAAGCGTTACTTTCTGCTCTGGTGGCAAAGAACATAGCCATGTTGTCTTAATACTCAAACTCCTTGGTGGTTTCTTTCTCTTAGCATTTTCTTGCTCATGAGTTCAATGGTCAAATACAAAGGAAACTGTCCAAACCTGACTAGTGAAAAAGTTAAGAATAAATTGTAACATCATTCTGAATCAAAGTCTCATGTGGTAGAACAGATTGGATTTATATCCCACCCTTCACTCGAAGTCTCAGAGCAGCTTACAGTCTCCTTCCCTTTCCTCTTCCCCTTCCCACAACAGTCACCCTGTGAGGTAGGTGGGACTGAGAAAGCTCTTTCAAGGACTGCTCTTGAAAGAACTCGTGACTGACCCAGGGTCACAACAGCAGTTGTATGTGGAGGAGTGGGGAATCAACCCACTCTCTTAATCGTGCTCTTAACTACTACACCAAACTGGCTGTCTGTAACAGGCACATCTTGCTTCTAGTGACCAGCGTGCTGCAGGTGGACAAACCAAGACTGAGTTTTTCCTAGCCACACCTTGTACTTCACTTCTTTCTCATCTTGACATGTTGCTGCTCAGTAAAAACTTTTAAAGTAAGTTCTATAAATGACATTTCCCCCCCTTCCCATGCTATCCACATGAAAGACTTTCACAGAAGCTTTGATTAATTTTGAACCTTATATTTTTTGTTATGATACAATTCTCCATTTTCAAACACTCGGGTTTTTACAACTGGAACATTCCTGTTTCTCATGTGTAACCTCTGAGCAACTTAATGCTTTAGCCAAGTTCTTTGAGCTATGAGAAAATCAGACCCTAAAGGGTTTAAGGATTCTTATGTTCCATACAAGTAGGATCCAGATTTCCAGCTTGTCAGTCCAAAAGTTAAGCAGTCCCACATGCAGTGTTGTCAAGGACAGCACTGCATGTGCTAACAGCTACTGAATCTTTCTACAACTGTAATGAGGGTTGCCTCCTCCCCGGCCTATTCCTTTCCCTTTAGTTGCTACTGCCATGAAAAAATGGAACTAGTTGTTTCCTTACCACTTTTCCTGTTGTTGTTATTGTTCAGTCACACAATCAAGTCCAACTCTTCGTGACCCCATGAACCACATCACGCCAGGCCCTCCTGTCTTCCACCGTCCTCTACAGTTTGCTCAATTTCATGTTCGTTGCATCGATAACACTATCTAACCATCTCATCCTTTGCCGTCCCCTTCTTCTTTTACCTTCAGTCATTCCCAGCATCAGGGTCTTCTCCAGTGAGTGCTCCCTTCTCATTTCCCAGTAAGAGACAAGGTTTTATCTGCTTAATTTTTGTTTGGTTGTTTTAAAGGCCAAAGAGCAGTGCCAGGGCAATTGGTGTCAATCTATAGCATATCCCCCCCCCTTTATCAAAAAGATCCACTCAGTGTTTGAAGATCATAAAGAGGAATAATGTAGTCTTTTTTTTTTAAACCCCCGAAAGGGTATTTTTATTATTTTTCATAAGACTATTAACTACAATGAAAAATATAGGAGGTGGGACTACAACTAAGGGTAAAGGAAAGCTACCCACACTAACTAAAAACCCAAGAGTAGGAGATCCTTTCCATGTTAATCTGAATGTTAGTAATACAAGTGTTAGTGATACAATATACTTGTGAAGTTCTTGTTTAACCCAGCTTCTATATTAGTAAATTAATCTTTGTGAGAGTACTTCTTGAGCATCTTCTTTACTTCAAAGAACAATTTACAGAGTCCTTCTGCCCTTACTTTGGTTTTCTATCCCTAAAGTCATACACAGTTTTCGTTGCTCCCGCACCTGCTTCCCCCATAGAGTCCTTGTCCATTCCCGAAGTAGCAGAGTCACTTGACTTGGTTTCTTCATCTTTAAGTTCTTCCTCCGGCCCAAGCTGACGTCTCAAAAATTCCTTAGCTTTAAAGATGGAGTCAGTCTTCTCTCTTTTATCGTTCACTTTAAAAAGTACACCTTCGGGAATCGCCCACCTGTACTGAATTCCATTAGTTTGAAGAAATGAAATCAATTCCTTGTAGCCTTTCCTCTTTTGACGAATTTCAAATGGAATATCTTTCAAAATCTTTATGATTGTATTCCCAATTTTCAATGGATTTGCCGAAGTTGCCTTTAATACAGCTTCTCTGGTCTGTCTTCTTGCAAATCTCACCACAGTCTCTCCAGGCAGGTTATTTTTTTAAATATAATTGGAGTATGCCCGATAAGCAGCCTCCATGTCTTTTACTATTTCATCTGCTGATATACCTGTTACTGGAGCGATGATCTCTCCCAGAGTCTTCTTCAAATCTTCTTTTTCAATTTCAGGCACCCTCTGAAATCTGAGAGATGTTAGCTTTTTCCATTTGAAGCTGTAACAAATGAGTTTCCTGAAATTTTTGTGTTGTTTCCACATCCATCACTCTTTTCTTCATCTTCTTATTTGCGGTATCCATCTCTGTAATTTTCACAGTTGCATGCTCCACTTTCTTTTCCGTTTCTGCCAGCTGGTGCTGCTGCAGAGCAAAGTTTTGGTTTAGTGTGGCCAGTTGCTGGTTAATACCACCGAGTTGCTCCATTACCGGCTTCAGCATATCCACTAGCAACTTCATGAAGTCTGCTCCCTCTTCCGGTCTTGGGCTCTGACTGCCTGGTTTCGGTTTTAACTTTCCTCGGGAAGCCACCATGTTCCACTTTGTTTACACTTTCAAACCGTTATTCCAGGGCTCGAAAGACTCGCCATTTCACTATTGGTACTCAAGTAAGTCTCTCAGAAAAAGCTCTCTGTTTATTTCCCCCCTTCCCCCTTCGCTACATTAGTCTGTTCTTGCGCTTAGGAGGCGTCCCTCCTTGTGCGCCACTTTTCCCACCGGGGTGTGTGTGTGTTACTCCGTTTTAGCAAAATAGTCCGTTTATTTCGAACTCACGTTCATTGATGGTCATATTCTGACCTCGCTTTCTTCATCGTTGTTCCGCTCGATCTCCTGCGCTTGTCCCGGTTGAATTAGCTTACACCCGAAGGTCACTCAGCGTCAGGACCACCAGGGTGGGATAGAGTTCTAGGGCTGATCCTGTGAGAAGGTTCTAGTCAGCATTTAAGATGGAAGCATGAACACAGAGTGAGTCTGGAGTTAAAGACTGGGATGCAAACTAGGGTTTGCATCAAGGGCTGGCAGTGCTGGGGAGACTGGGGAGGACGGGACTTAACCAAATGGTGTCCATCAATGCTTGGCGCAAAATGACATCACAGCATTGCAAGACACTCAAGGGGTCACTTGAAACTATGGTAAAAACCATAGAGTTATGCGTGAATCTTGAAGCATCTCACAGTGTGATGGCATCACTTCCATTTACAGAGGCAAAACAGTCAGGATTGGCTTGGAAGTATTTATGGCTACATCAGGGAAAACAATGGGGTACTTTTGGGTAGGGGGATGGTCTCATGCTGAGCCCAGGAAGACAATATTGACCTTTCTTTCTCTTCTACCTAGCTTCAGGAGACTGCTAGTGTACATATTAAGAGGCTGTTGGTTTAGGAGTTGAGTCAAAATGCGGTCTATTTTTTAATATTTCTAAAGTTCAAACTTGCCCTGGTAGGCAGGCCTAAGTGCCAGCTGTGCGGAGGTGGGAGCAGAGGCACTAACTTGTTTTGAACCCCAGTAGGAGATGTTGCTTGGGAAAATCTTAGCATAGATTAAAACAAAACCATGCCCTCTTAGTAAAGTCAGCTGCAAGCTTTGGCATGCAGTATGCCGTGTTTTCATAATTTCTTTTGTTTTTTCCTCTTACCAAGCTATCTTACAATAATGGTAATGGAAATTCCTTTTAAGAGACTATTAATCTTTTGAGATGAAATTTTTGGCCAATGAAGAGGGAGTGCCCTTGGTTTTTTCATAAGCACCACTTCCTATCTGAGAAAGTGAAACTAATCTTGAACATAATAGCTATATGTAACAGAATATCGTGGTGATAGTTTATGCTAAATCCATGAACCTAGAAACATCAGTTTTTCAAAGGCATTCAGGAGGAATTAGGTGAGTATCTTACATTGTTACTTTTTAGA